GTGGCTCATAATCAGTACAACTGCAATTTCTTCTGTTAAAATAAATACAATTTCCTTTATGTGCTGATCACAGTCTATGATTCCCCCACCCCAGTGTGGTATGCATGAATACTTGCTGGGAATTACAGACAAAGCCATTCTGAGCAGATAAGAGCTTGAGCTGGGATTCAGAGTCATTTACCTTGGATGGTGTCAGATAAGTTGGCAGTCCCACGGAGAGGACCTCCTTGCAAGGTGACATGACTCACCTCACAGATAATCTGAGAGTATACATCCCCAGCACCTAGCACCACCTGGGCTGTGCTGGAGATACTGTAGGTGGTGCTTTCTCCTTTGGGGTCCACAGTAGTTTGGAAGTGAGAGAGCTCATGTCCATCTTTGAACCACTTCAGTGTGATGTTCCGAGGGAAGAAGCCATGGGACTTGCATGTGAAGCTCACTGTCTGTTCAGGAGTCACTCTGGCTATAGGGCCCAAAACCACGGGAGGAGATGGTTTAGCTACAAAGAAGCATGTAGACAAGCGTGTTACTGTGATGCCACCACTGATGACATAACACTGTGAAGAACCTTCCTAGATACTAACACTATTTTCATTATTTATTATGGTGCTTGAGATCAATACCAGAGCTTTAGCCACACTAAGGACCTGTTCTACTCCAAGGTAATAGCTGTGTTCCAGACACAGGCTATAACTGTTTATTCTCTGTGTTTTGTTTTTTGTTTCTTATTTATTTATTTATTTTTGGCAGAGTTTGTCCTGGTTCTTCTGTGGTATCCCCCTTTTTTTGTCTCTGAAGTTTAGCAAATATCTCCACAAGTCAATTAGGAAGAGCAAGGCCAGGTAATTCTTAGCCTGAGCAAAGAAGGCAATTGTCAATATATATTTTATATTTTATATCATCTGTTCCTGCTGGCTTCCTCTGGCAACCTTGCAAATATAGGAAAATGTTTGTAGATTTACTTCTATTGTAATCCAGTAAATAAATGACATCACAGAAGGGCCACAAAGCTGGAATGCTTCCTGCTCTCTCCAATTATTTTCTTTCCTTTTACCTACGTGTTAGTAGGCCTCAGCTGTGCCAAGTCTGAAATTAAAATTGAGAGCTCACTAGACTGCATCTCTAAATGGGCTTCAGTTTTACTTAGTTTGATGTTGAAAGCAGTGATTACCCTCTGCATAGGAACACAGGTAGTTTGTTTCCTGGTTGTTAATCATAAGAGACACAGATATGGGCCTGCTGAGTGCACAAAATCACTCCCTGGCTGAAAGCACACATATGGATGAACTTGTGAGTAGAAGGCAGTGTCCTCTGTGGATGCCGTGTGCTGAAATTATTTGTGTACCAGGCTGTATTTGGAAATATCATGCACATTTGTATTTGTGTATATGTGACCTCTTATCAAATGCCCATCAAATCATGATTGTAAACAAGTGCTACTTGAAGTCAATATATCTATACATGAGCACACCTGATGTCCCTACAGGTTGAGGGACCAGTCACTGTTTATCAGGAGTTCCTGACCATCTTGGCATTGCCCTGTTTCCAGTGCATTAGGGTGGGCCAGTTATACAGACCAAATGACAAAGCTTATCTCACCCCAAACAGGTGATTAATTTGAATTCTGATCTTGATCTAATGAGCATCAATGTCTTTTTTAAAATAAAAACTGAATAAAACATTACCATAGAAAGATGAAAATAAAGGTAGAACCCCATGACGAAGTATGCACTTACAAACCCTAACTATTACTGGAGTTGTTACTAGATGTGAAATCATATATTTATTCTTTCCACTGTTAGCTGAAGCAAAGTCCATAAAGGCATCATACGGCCTGTCTCCAGATTATTCTTGTGTCTGAACAACCTATGTAAGCAGCAGAGCCTCTATACCAGTGGTTCTCAACCTTTAAAGGCTGTGACCCTTTAACAGAGTTCATCATGTGGTAGTGACCCCCAAACATAAAATTATTTTGTGTGTGTTTCATTAGTATAATTTTGCTAATGTTATAAATCATAATATAAATATCTTATATGAGATTCCTGTGAAAGTTCTGTTCAACCAGCAAATAGGTTGTGTCCAGAGGTTGAGAAACACCTTTATGTCCTGCCATCTTCTTTCATAATGATCTCACTAATTTGGTCAGTGGCTTTTATAGTACAATAAACACCTGCCCCACACATGCTAATTAAAGAGAGCAGATGACCATGAGAAGGTTGAAGGACAGAGATCAGTGACACACTGTGTCATTAAGGTAGATTTCTGAGTGAAAGAGAGAACTGTCTGGACTCAGAAATTGTTCTGGGGAAGTTGTGCCCTGAGACTGGAGTTGAACAAGCTTTTGCCATGCTTGGATCTTAGGGTGCCTAGGGTGTCCTCTCTGAGCTACGTTTCTGGCTTATTATTTGGATTTTAGGGTATTGTATGCATCAGGCTGGGCCCTGCTACTTTGAAACATAAGGGGTTGTGATGCCTCAGCTTGGTGGCCTAACAAAGCTATCAAGGGAATAATCACAAATATCTCCTGTGATTTCAGAAAATGTATCTCAGGAGATATTAAGCCTGAGCTGTATGTCAGCACATTTTGGAGTATTTTATATTTGAGAGGCCAAAACCCATATCAGACCAATTAAATGAACATAGATCTTGGATTTCTCTTATTTCCAAAGTTATTTCAGCCAGGTTGAGAGCTACCAAGCCCCACCCTCACTGAATTGATAACTAAGACCTGGAGGGGGAAAGTGACAATTTAAGCTCACATGGTTTCTGAGTAACAAAACCACAAGATGAATATTTCCTACATGTCAGCAGTTTCGTTAAGTGTGTTATATGACTTAATTCCTTTAGTTAGGGAAGTTTACATACAGTGCTATCAGGAAGAGGGTATCATAGGAGGCCCCTGTGTGGTGCCAGGATGAAGCCACTCCTTTTGTTTCTCTCTGGTGAGAGGTTGTGAGAGAACTTGCAATGCCACACCCAGGTAAGAAACTGTGCTCATCCTTATAACTAATTTGTCCTCAAATTCAGCAGGCCTCTTCCAGAGGGCATGTGTTGTGGAATATTCATTTAGTATATGTTACATTCAATTATGCTGTGGAATTTTGTTTAATAATGCTAACCTGTGTTGCATTCTTTTATGTTGTGTTTGTTTACCTCTATAAAGCTGTGTTACTTTGCCTGTCAAAAATACCTGATTGGTCTAATAAAGAGAAAAATGACCAATAGCTAGGCAGGAGAGAAAAATATGTGGGGCTAGCAGGCAAAGAGAATAAATAGGAAGGGAAAACTAGGCTAAAGAGAAGGGGAGGAGTGAGAAAGTGAGAAGAAGAGGAATATTCCATGGACCAGCCACACAGCCACATTGCTAGCCATGGAGTAAGAAGGAAAG